TACTGCTGTTAGTCTTATTTTAAACTGTACAGATAATGTAAATTCAGTACAAATCATTACAAATCAATGTAGGATTTATAAGATTATGCTTCAGTAATGAATGTCTTGGATGAGCTTCAATAGAGGGTGGAGGGAGCTACAGAATCTACACAGCAGAATTATATAAATAATAAATAATAAGATGATATAAGAGTTATGATACAATACAGTTCCTTCAACCACTCCGGAGATGGTGATACTAAATGGTTTAGTAAAAGAAAAAAAGGCCTACAAAAATTCCAGTAACAATTCTTGAAATTTGAAGTTCAACATCTCTGGTCAGTCCTTGTAATGAGCAGGAAGCAAAAGTGCTGGGCTGTCTCCACTCTTCTGACACGGAAGAGCTGGGAAGCGGGCAGTGGGGCGTCCCCAGTGGCTTGGGGTGTGAGATGGTCTTGCTGCAAGGCCAGATCGGTTCAAATTGAACCAGATGCAAAAAATTCTCCACAAGAACCTTCAATTTTTCGAATGAGCATTTCCATGTAGAAGAAGACTGCCACTGAGAAACGAAAGACGATCAAGACTGAGGTCTGAGTACATGCCAATGGGCATGGATCTCAGCCTCTACATAGGAGGTAGTCACAACAATAAGTAAGTTCGTGCTATTGGAAGCCTATAAGTTCTTATAATTGCTACTGCCAGTTTATTGATGACAATTTGCACCTTTCTCCTTGGAAGGACTGGTTAAGTATCTCCTAAATAGAATTTATAATATTGTTATTTGATATTCTCTGGGGATAATTCACAAGCTAGTCACCTACAATATACCCAACAAGAGATGTGCATCTTCTATGATGGCATATAAACATCATATACAAAGCATCCCCTTTTGCTGTTGGTCACTTTTTTTATCATGAACATAAGTTTTAATATTTTAATTGAAAAAAAGAAGTAATATAAGCCTCAAACAATTCCTTACGTTCCTAACATCACAATGAAATGGATCCAAGGATAAGGTGACATTGAAAAAGAAAAAAAAAGACAAACGGAAAGAAGAAAGGGGAACTGCAGAACTGTACCACATGATAAACAAGAGAATTTCTTGGAAAGATGATTCAGGACAGGATGTTTCTCATCTTATATTAAATTCTTTACAGTATTTATATAAAAAATGTGGACCAAAAATCAGAATAATAAAATACAACAGTGTGAAGGGGATATGCCACAAAGCATATGTAATCTATGCATACATATACTCTCAAGAACATAAGATATCAATTCCTATCCTGTAAACCATCTAGTGTAAATAATTTAGAAGGCTTTTTTAAAGTGGCACATTGGAAAGTCAACAGAACACATCGGGAATGTCACTGTTAAAAGTGGTTAAAGATGAAGAGACAGAACTTCTAACATGACTCACTTTAAAGACTATGTTTCACATGATAAGCACCATTCAGAGAGAGATAAAGAGATAGAGATGGAGAAGACTTTCTCACCAAGCATGTTTATTTTCTGTACATATATACACAAAAACCTATTTAAAGCTCGGTCAAGTCTCCAGTTTATATCATCACCAAGCATTTACTGGATCATCACAAACAGTCACAATTCCTCACAATGAAGCAGTATTACAGCATTAATTTTACTCCATTTACTCTCTGCACTTTATAAAAATCTTTATTATATATTATGGTCTAAGTACAAGCTATCACGCGAAGGACTCCTTATTCGAGGCTTCCTCAAGGTCTTCACTGATGGCTGACATTGCTTCACTACATGGTGAATTTGGGAGCTCCAGTCTGTTAAAAAGATACAGAAGTATAATTACTCCCTTTGTATTGTAATATAGAATATTAAAAAAAATGGAGACAGTTGACAACTTTTCTATCTTAATAAAATGAAGAAAAAGAAAGAAAGAAAGGCCTGTATATCAAAGAAGGAAAGAAAGAAAAGAAATGATAGAAAAAAGGGGAAAAATATGAATGATCACATGATTTCCAAAAATAATAAAATCAATAACCTTACCAACACTTTCAATATAAGCTATCCTATCAGTACTACTTTAAGTATATCATTTAAATGGAAAATCATATTTCTTTTTACACGATTCTTCTTAAAAATTTGAAACAAAAATTTACTTTAAAAAATATATATATATTCACATAAAATGTACAAACACATGAAGATCAACTTAAAAGTCTTAACAATAAGTAGTTTAAAAATGAAAAAAATTAAGCTGGCAGTATCATTCACAAAATGCTTTTACAGCCTAAGCGTCTTTCATCTAGCCATCTGAACAGCTTTCCCCAAATCTAAAAATTTATCAGGCAATTACTCTATTGGACAAAATTATGATAAAAAACAAAGCCCAAACAAAAAAGGGGGAATAAAGACTATAATGTGTAAGAGTCTTACAAACTAATGAGATACACCTAGCCTTTTTTCACCTTCCAAAACCAACTGAAAAAAGAAAGAAAGAAAGAGGGGCATGCATTATTCACTCTTAAAATAAAATGAAACTATAAAAAATCACTTAAAGAAAAATACCCTACTAAAAAAAATATATGGTCTCATAACTAGCATTCAATGTTTGACATATAACATGAAACATAATTATAACTTACAAGACTTTTATAACTTTTAAACAAAAAAAAAAGATAAAATATTAACTTGCATTTACAGATATAGCTCTTCCATACCTTAAAAATAAATAATACAAAAAAAGCCTTTACTTTTTTAACCATACTCACTCCTCAGATACATACATACATATGTATGCGTCAATATCTGTGTAACTGTATTGGCATGTAGATATTCAGTGAGTGAGTGTATGTGTAGCAAAAATGAAAGTAAGTTTGATTAAGTAAGTGCAATCATTAACATTTTAATTACATTCAAAATAAGCAATTACAAGCATACTTAGGATCTAGTTTCTTTTTTCATAAAAAGCATTAGTATTTGCAAATCATAAATGCAAAGGGTTGTTTACAGCAGGTTAGGTGCTCAAATATCTACAGGGCAAAAAACCCAATCATATTAAGTACATCCACATGTCATGTAAAATGTTCTAATATTTAAAATCACTTAAAATAGAATCAAGACTAATTATGGAATTCTTGTGCAAACAGTAATTCAGTATTTACCCTTAAATCTTTATATCTGAATAACTTTCCAACATAAAAATACAGTGTAATGGAGGAAAAATAATTCTGTTTCATGTAAATCAGGACCTGCTCTACTAATAACTACAAAAGTAATATATCCATAAAATATCCACTATTTCAACCATAAAACAATTTAAAATCCTGAATATGAACTCTTACAAATGTTATTTTCTGTTAGCACAAGAAACCTTTAATTCTTCTTTATTTAGCAATGCAAACAGCACATGTAAGTTGAAGGTCTGATGACCTGTTTAAAACATAAAAATATTTTAGAACTTAAAACTGCCCTTCCCTTCCCCCCGGAACTCTATATTTACGAACAAATTAAAAACAAAACCAGAAAGCAAATAATATTTTGAGTTATGTTAAATGATCAAAAAAAGCCAAAAGTCTTCTGATATAAAACAGACATTTTGACATTTTGGAACCAGACCATTTAAATCTGGTCGCTACAGCCATTAAATTTGTCTGTATTTTCAAAAATCTTTTCTGTAAAATAAGACCTAGTTCTTATCTTGACATAATGAAAACTTGCAACTTCACATTCACTTTTTTTTTCTTTTGTATTTTTACAGCTAAATTTTGAAAGGTTGGGACATCATGTTATAATTCAGAAGACTAGCATTAATACCTGGCCATTTGATAGGCCATAGGGAATATGCATGATATTTAAATGTTACATTGATTTTACAATATGCACTGCTATGGTATATATATTTTTTTTTATTCACTTGAGCACTAACTTGGCTGCTTTGGCAAAAGGAAATGCCACAAAGCCCACTATTTTCCCCAATTACCTGTCAAGCTGCTGCACTTCTGATGGAGGAGTGCGAAGCGTAGAATTGGAGGAGGACCTCTGGTGCCTCAAGGACGCAGTCAGATAAGAACTCAAGCTGCCGTCGCTGTCGCTGTCACTAGAAACAAAGAAGTATGGTCCAAGAAAGCACAAACACAAGGGCCCAAGCCAGGCACCAGACTCAAGCCGTAGGGCAGGTAAGGCACGCAAGCTTTGTTAATAACACGCAAAAGCTACTCACAATATACCCAGCCAAGGAAAACTGTGGAGAAAATCTGGTGAATTTCAAAGGAATCTGGTTGGGATACGGGACAGGTGGTTACTAAGGCTTTGCTAATGTAAAATTATGCACAAAGTCTAAATCATATTAGCAGATGGTTTGTACATGAGCAGTATTATGCCAATCCTATTGCTTTTCATTCTATGGTAATACATTAATCATCTAATTCATGCTATAATATATAGAGTGGGCCATCATTTGGAATGTTAGACATAAAGCATTTTATAAGATAATGATCATTGTTGTCTGTTAATGTTTGGCATGTAAGCATGCAAGACATACAAAGGTAAGGAGGTTAAAAGAATGAGGAGTTTGGGCAACTTTCAGATTATAAAGGAAAGGAAATCAAGATTGCCCAGGCGTGAAGCAGTGAATTTGGTAGAGTCATGTTCCCTGTGCTGCCAGAGGCCTGCAGTCAGGAAATTCTGCCTAGAAGAAATCCTATCCCATGGACTGGGAGTCGTAGCTTGGTACCGCAATTCTTGGAAGTAAAGTTACCTGTCGGATAGGTCGGAGTCGGAGTCAGAAATGTCACCCTGGATGGCCTGTTGGAGGTCCTCAATCCTCTTGAATGCCAACTTCAGGTCACTCTTAAGGGTAATGACTTCTGAGTCTGAAAGTTCTAACTGCTTCTCCAACTCATTCTTCTTGTTGACAGCATCAGTGTGTCTCTGCTGCAAAGTTGAAAGATCCTCCTTGGCCTCACGCAACTGCCTTCCAAGTCTCTTGCTCTGGTCCTGGGCTTGACTCTCCTTGAGCCGCGCTGAATCACACTCACTCGTCAGACGTTCAATCTGGTCCTTCAACCGGCCTATTTGACTCTGAAACACAAATGTGACTATTAATTAAAACTCTCCTCAGATGGATAAACTTCACAGCATCAGTTACAGATTTCATTTACATTTTTTTCTTCTTCATTCACAGAATAGAGATAAAACAAATTTTCTTTATTCAAGACTAACCTCTAATCTCTGCCTGGTTGTCTGCTCAAGTTCAAGTTTAGACTCAACCTCCTTGATCTTCATCTCGAGGCGGCGCTGAGTGTGAATGTTTGCTGTCTCTCCTTCTAGCACCTCTACTTTGCTGGTCAATTCCAGCATTCTCTCCTGAAGAACCTGCATAAAAGATACAGACACTGTACTTGAAAAAATACTCATAACACTAATGTATCATAAGAATCCACGTAAATATAAGAGAGAGAAATGAAAAGAAGACATAACCAAATAAAAAAATATGTATATACATTAACTCTATTATATCAAAAGAAAATCCTAATCTATTCTTATCCAACGTATGGCAAATCCTATGTGGCACAATTATCACATACCTGTTTACTGTGTTCTAGTTCTGCAATTTGTTGTGACTGTTCTGAGAGGGTGATTTGGTCTACAGACAGCTGAGATACAACAGCCTTATACTTCTTCATTACCTCAGCCACCTCTTCTTCACTCTCTTCCAGCTGAAAAAAAGTTATTAATTTCATCACTGATATCAAAAATGAAAGAACATCTTTATTATAGCACCTCAAAATTATACTGTGCCAAAGATTCACTTTTAAGGCCACTAACCTGTGTTTGCAACTCAGCCTTCTCTTTGCACATTCTGGCACACTTATCCTCTGATTCATTCTTATATCTCAGGGCCTCTTCCAGTTGGGAGTTGATTTCGGAGAGATCCGATTCAGCTGACTGGCGAGCCTTGATGGCTGCAGTCTTGGCAAATTCTGCATCTTCCAACTGAAAAAGAAATAAAGGTTAGCCTAAGATTTCTTAAAAAAAGAAAAGAAAAGAAAAAAAAATCATGGAATGCAGCTAATCAAATATATCTAAAGCTTTCACAAGCCTTTTCTTGATTATATTCCATTATTCCTAAAATGAATAAATGTCAGAATTAATCCTCCCTGTCAAGGGGTCAGTGATATCTGAAATGTGTGATTTGCTTAAATAAACATGACTTTGATATTGATGATGGGTGAGTAACAAATTAATAAAAATAATAAAAACCAGTAGCACTAACCCAATCTTAAAAAGTTATTGAAGTTACCTGTGTTTTCAGTTGTCTAACGAGAACCTTATGACTGCCCTCAGACTGTGCCTTCTCGAGCATAGTCTGTGTATCACGTAACAAGACCTTAGTCTTCTTCAGTTCCTTCTTAAGCTTGTGCACATAGTCTTCATCAACATGGGTGATGGTGCGATCTTGTAAGTCAGCTATACGCCTTTCCAGTTCATGTTTCTCACGCACCAACAATGTTCTCTCTTCATGCTCATTCTCCAGCTGTGCTTCCAATGCTGCCAAATTGTTTGAATCATTTAGAAGTGTTATATTTAATGAAAGGTCACCTCCAACCATCTACCTAATTACATTCTTGAACACTTCATTGCAAATAACAAAACACAACAAATCATAATAAAATTCACACACTCCTTAGAATACAAGACAATTTAGTTCCTAAAACTATTTTGTAAACTGAAAATTACATTGTCAAATATCACTCATGTGACAAAAATAATAAAAAAAGGAAATATTTAATACATAAATACACCTTGGGAAATCATGTAAGTAATCTTATGCTACAATTTCTGAATTAGCTGTCTTTAGAAAGAACTCCTGGTGAAGGCCATAAGAAATCCATAATGAGCAAAAAACTCAAGTGGATATCCTGTTCTGAGTAAGGCAGTTAAACTTGCAGTGTTCTGCTTAACTCTTAGCCAGAGTGAAAGTACCAATCCTGATCTTTATATCTTCAAAAGTGTGAAAAGTAAAGATGAAGAAGCAATCAAACATGACATGCTTTGCATAGAATTTAAGCAGTGCTTCGGTTCAGAATCCCATGTGTAGAATGTACAGCCTCTTGCTCTGTTTTCCCCTGTGGATGGGATTCTTATCCTTACCTTTTACTTTCTTTTGAGCAGCTATTCTGACTTCCTCCAGTTCCTCTTCTCTCTGGGCCATCTCGCGGCGATTCTCCTTCCTCATTTGCTCTATGCTCATTTCTAATCGCACCTTTGCGCCCTCTAGCATTTGCACCTGCCCTGCTAAGTCATCTAGCTCCTCCTCCTGTTGATAAAGCATTCAATAAATACACAAAAAATCAATAAAATACATTCACTATAATATTCAAAATCCTACAGAGCATCTATCACACTCCTTGTTTCTTTGACCAGACAGTAGCAAAGAGCAACAAACCTGATCTTTGATGCGCATCTCCAGGTCATGCTTGGCCTTCTTCAATGTTGCAATCTCCTCCTCAGTCTTCCCTGTGAAGTTCAGGTCCTCAATCTCCCTGTTGAGGGATGCAACTTTCTCTTCCTTCAGCTCCAACTCCAGCTTCAGGGTCTAGTAAGAAAGAGGTGGTTGGTGAATACTATGGTTACTGCAAATTTTATGAGATACCAAAACTGACCTGCAGTGTAGCCTGTCTAGCTAACAGTCTGAATTTACTGCCATATTCCTGTCTTATAGAAGGTCTAGTCATCTGAATGCTTCCAGACATATCCTCCCCTAATTGGCCATGTATAAGTGAACCCACATCAATATCATTCCATAAAAATCTACAAACTGTGTATGGTAAATTACTCCACCTGCCATTGTAGAAAGAAATTATTTAATCACTCAAACAATTTCACTGGATTCCAGTCAGTGATCTGACAGCTTCATAATTACACTTCTAAGTAACAGCCAAATGTTTCATGTCAATACTCTATGTTTTTAAAAGCAGACAAACGCTGATGCTTGCCATCATATCTACATTACAAAATAATATAAAAAATCGAATAGGAAGTAAGTCTTTTCAAAATCAAAAGCTCATGTCTGCCTGGAAGATGAAAAAATTCTCATAAGGAGGAAAGGAAAATACTTTGGTCTTTAACTGTCTCTTTCCTCAAAGAAATCTAATCAAAGCAAGTACATAAACATGCCACACCTCATTCCATATGCTGCTCTTACTACTTCACTGAATTGTTGTTGTAAATTCAACAAATTATGACTTCTAATATAGTCAGTGATTTTTATAATAAGTATCTAACCCACAGAAAAAGTGCCAAGTAAGAGTTGAATCAGGCACTGGATATATCACCTTATAATGTTCCTTCTCTTCAAGTGCCATCAAATATGATAACATCTAGGGATTATTTCAAATGATTTTAAGTTTACCTCTTTGTGTAAATGTTATATTCATGTTACATCTTTCGTCAATAATAAATCATTAATCACAATATCCTATATACACCAAGTTCTATATAATTACCTATATAGACCTTGATATACGCCATGGTTGAATGACTGACTTGAATATCTCTGGCGTGGGGTAGCAAAAGTATTCTTCCTTAATGTACTGTTTTCACCTGATCCTCAGAACCACCCTATGTAATATAAGCACATGAGAATCTAGTAACAGGTTCACCTTCGCAGCCAAGGTGACTTTGGTAGGTCAGGTCAACCATGGTAATCTGATCGGGTGTAGCTGGTGAATGTTACCAGGTCAGGTTACTAGCCAGTCTCTCGGGTTTGGGACTATCGTGCAGTAGCCTTTAATTGCGGTCAGACAGTTCACCGAAATGTTCATGCATCGAAGTGGAGGCACGGGAACTCCCAATGAACTGCATACACCAACATGATAAATGTGATCACCTGCTGTTGCCAGAATCTCTTGACGGCGGCATTCCTGACAGGCGTCGTGTATCTGAGGGAGGTCTGGTCCCTCAGAATGGGACAGTCTAACGGGTCCTCGAGCCCCCTCACGCCGCCGTCCTGACCCGGCGACATTGCCTCGGCGGGCGGAGGGTCGGGGGTGTAGGCGGGGGCGGGGGGGAGGGCCTCTATGGGTGTCATGTCGCCGTCTACAGTGCAGTCCGGCGAGGGCGGCTGCGGCTCGGCCCTCTTCTCGACGCAGCCGTTGGAGCTGCGGTTCTCCGCAGCCGAGAACTGGTTGAAGACGTCATTGGAAAGTTTCCGGAGCGCGGTGGTTCGCGGAATCTCCTGCGTCGGGGACAGGACCTCCTTGGTGCTCTTGACGCCCAGGCCTTCCCACTGGGCGATACGCTGTCGCACGCGCTCCCTCGCTTCCACACTCACGCGTTTCTCTTTCATGGTTTCCCTTGACGCTCGAGTGTTTTCCCGGCGATAAACAATTCGTACTTTCTCTTTCTCTCGAAGCGGCTCACCGTATTCCGCCGGCAGTTCAGTTCATTGTTTGCTGCGGGGTTTCTATCCTTACTGCAGAAAATACTAAACACTTACTACGATTTTTCTTCCAAGTGTTTGACGATAGATATTGGAAAGGCAGAGATGTTGCATGAGATACACGGAAAAATTATCCCAAAGCGTGGCAGGACAGCTTGTTCCCAATAAGGGATTGGTTGCTTACGTCACAATTCTGAAGGAACCTGCTACTCCTGCTTTCTAGAACCGACTCTAAGACCAAGACCGACCACCAAGTCTCCCCCCTACAAATCCTTATGGATTCCCTCACAAGAAGAAAGGAAAAAAAAAAAAACACGACCCGACTTCCTTTCACTCGAAAACTCGCACATCCACGAAACACGATGACAATAATAGCGTGTTCGGGAGCGCATACGAATGACCCGGGCCGGACAGACACTTGCTATGGCGTCGCAGTCCTTACTCGAGCGGCATCTCTGCTCTCATGCTTCCCACGACTTGCACCACAGCGCCAGGACTCGTCACCGCGCATACAAAAGACGTCGAGACTGTGTCGAAATAACGCGACCAAGTCAGAGGAATTGACAAAACAGATTGGCGCACCGCACACGAACCTCACTGTCACATGAAAGCCTCCGTTTATAGGTTAACATCCACACTGACAACACGGATTTAATCTCAAATACAATTCATTATAACAAGATGGTTCAGACGTATATCAATCCCCTGGAGACACCGTCCATGCCCATCGCAGGTCCTAATATCAGGTAGGCCTTGTACCACTCACAACCCCCCGTAGGCTATGGAAAATCACTCTACCAAACTCCCTTATACTAATGTCTCCTTCTACAAACTGCGCAACGATATCCAGCCACCACTCTCGGTACTCTCTTCACTTTTTTACATTCACTGCAAAACGAAACACGCGCCGAAGGAAGGGAGGCGCAGCACATACAACCACCACCGCTTCTATGACCACACTGACTCGGTTTCGTCTGACCTGCAGAAAACGGGAGGCGGGAGGTCGGAGCGCAGTTGGCAAGCATCAGCGTTTGTCTGCTTTTAAAAACCCTTTTTATGACAAATACGCTCTTCTAATAACTACAGAAATAAAATCGAATATCCATGTGAATAAAGTGACATTCATTCTGCGTATTATACGATAGGAAACGATTCATAATTAGCAGAACAGAGGACGCGGTGGCAACTCTCCCATAACAGTACCAGTCCCCCGTAGGAACCCGACTGATTCATGTGTCTCCCTATCGCATCTCGCCCATACCTTTTCGCCGAGGAACCCACTGCCTTTCTGGTGCTGAAGTTTCATGATTGTCAGTCCGAAGATATATATAAATAACATAAAACGGATACGCGAGAAAGGGAAAATTCCTCGCAGCTCGGCTTGACATCTCGCTTAGGTCAATATTCGGCACAAAAACTCGTTTCACACGCAAATCACAAAACATCACTTATAGAATATACACCCAATCGCTGCGCTAGAAGGAAGAGAGGAAAAAATAAACGAACAGATTATTAAAAGTAAAATGATTCTCATGTACGTACACCATGATAAGCCTCATACCACCTTCTGACAATCGAACTTATAAAAATCGCACCAGCTTTATTAAGCAACTTAAAAGGATTCCAGCTTAAAGTAGACAGATTTCAGTTTATCAAAGATTCTAATATGGTCGTAGGATGCTCGCCTTCATAACCCCTGGAGGATATAGGGGGAGAAGGAAGGAAGGAGGGAGGGAGAAAGGGAAGGTAAGAAGAAGGGAGGAAGGAGGAGGGAGGGGTAGGAGGAGGGGGTGGGCACACAGAGCACACCAGTCTACCTACGGACCTTACACCTCACCTACCTCACCTACGACAGCTGTACTACGCCTGCCAATATTGGTGTAAGCTGTTTAAATACGTTAGGGAAAGGAAGAGGAAGGTAAGGAAAAGGGAATTTTAATTGCGTTATTTAGTCATTTAGTTCTGTTTATTTCACTCCATTCCGATATAACAGCCGGGCCACTGTTTAATTCTCAACCCGGTAAAAGTATACATGTATATTTCTTTCATTTTCATTCTTCTAGAAACAATTTGCAAATTCGAAACAACCCAAAACAAAAACAATAAAAAAAAAAACACACTGCATCCTATAGCGAGTCAAATTTGCCGCCAAAAAATGTCCCGTACAGATCACATTGCAGAGAAAACCGCGAATCTCATTACCGACGAAGGTTACTTACTCTCCCTTCCCCTCCTTCAGGCAGTGCCACCGGAAGTGACCGAGGCACGTGGTTCTCAGGGTCAGCGAGGAATGAGCGCGCGCCAGGATCCCTTCTTTTTTAAATCAACCTGCCCTGCGAATCTCTAAGATCGAATCCTAAATCCTGGTGTTAAGGATTGCAAATTTGCGTAATGGGTCTTTCGGTATGTTTTTTTTATTACCTGTGTGCTATTTCAGAAATGCATTGGCAACCTTGGACAATGACTACAAACAAGTGTCTTCTCCTGCACCATATCTTTGTCATAAAAAAAAGTCATCACACACATCATTCCACATCTAGATTCGTCTTTTCCCTACCATTCTCTACGAAACATACCACCACAACAGGCAACACAAACTAAAAACAAACAAAGAAACATCCCACAATGAACACAAATTCTCTCCACCCACCAACCCTGGGCCTTCCCCCCCCGCCCCCCGCCCCGCCCGCCCGCCTGCCGCCGTGTGGTCAGCCTATCGTGTTTAACCTTGGCCGGCGCTGCGAGTGTCGGGCAGGTGCGCTGGGCTCTCGCGGGCTGCTTCCTCTGGCGTGCTTCCCTTGACACTCTTGCAACGCTGCAGGGCGGTCCTCTCTTACGCCACACCTTCTGGGAATTCGCGATTCTTGCTGGAGGAGGATTTTGCGCTCGAGGATTCTTATGTCCGCGGGGTCTCTGCTCTCTCTCCGCCATTTTGGTGAGAAATCTTTCCGTGTTTTATAGCAATGCGTTTCCTCCCCCCTTCGACCTCTTTTTTTTTTTACAAACCGGAAGAACATAGCATTTCCGATGTTAAGAGCAAGGAAAAAAGGGTGAGTAAAATACTGTAACAAACAGATGTTGCAACTAGAATCCAGCGTGTCCTGGGCCTCCTCCCGACTCTACCATCACCATTTCCCAACCGACTTTCCCCGAAA